TATTTATATAACATAGAATAATAGTAATCCTTGATAATTTGATATAGTGCCTTATGGTAGAATCTTACAGCACAGAAGGAGGCCATTTGGCCCATCATTCGTGTGCTGGCTCTTTGTCCAGAGTCCCTCCCCTTCTCTACCCCATAGCCCTGCTTGGTGCACAATACAGTTATAGTATGAGAAAATGTAACTTTAATTTTCATACCTCAGTTCTTTGGTTGCTTCAAATTGTTTCCTTTATTTTTCCTCCTTCCAATGTACCGTTCTCGGAGTGACATAGAATCTCTTACTCCTGCATTCGCTGATCAAGCTGCAACTTTGACCTCTGGCAAGCAGAACATTTAAAACTCTTAAGAATTACCTTTTGCTTTACGCTGAAAGAGACCAAAGGCACAAAGTGTTTCTTTTTTGGGGGGGTTGGACCCTTATGAAGACTCCTGAGCATTAGATACAATACAAAATTACATTTGTATAGCGACTTCCACGTCCGGGAGGACGTCCCAAGACATCCCAAATATAATTTGCTGCAAGCATCTTCATAGCTACAATGGGTTGAATAGCCTCTTGCTCATACGTTAGTGTGTATGTCTGAACAGGTCAACTATTATCAATTGTTTTCCTTTTGATAATTGGAGAGTCATTGTACATACCAGTAAGCTCTGATGATACCTTCATTATGAAATGGTAATTCAAGGAATCAGTTATAATAATTATGTAAGACTAACATGCTTTTGACCTTGAGTATCAACTTGACTCAGTTATAATAATAATAATCCTTGCATTTGATATAGCGCTTTTCACATCGGGAGGACGTCCCAAAGCGCTTCACAGAACACACTGTAAAGTGAATTGACTGTACATTTGTGGGCGAACGCGGCAGCCAATTGCGCACAGCAATGTCCCACAAACAGTCGTAGATTGAAAATGACCAATTTTTTATTGGTTTTGGTTTTGGAGGGATTATTATTAGGCGTGTGGAGTAAGGAAACTTGCCCAAGGTTTTGCCCTGCCTGGAATTGAACTCAGGTCTCTCACTTGCAAAGCGAGTGCTAAAAGCAGTTGCTAAAAGGTGTCGGTTCAAGCTTCAAAACGGGATTTTGAACTCCATCTATTCCAATGCTATAGTAGGAGACGGTTGGACATTAAAGATCCCATGATATTATTCAAAAAAAGAATAGCGCTGTGTTCATCCACCTACTCCTCATCATCCACCTCCAGCCATTTCTCACATCTAACGCAGCTGATAACCTTATCCATACATTCATCACCTCCCATCTCAATTTTTTTCGAATGGTCTCCTCCCTGGTCTCACCATCTCTATTATTCATAAAATCCAGTTAATCAAAACTCCACCACCTGTATCCTCACTCATACTAAACTCTGGACCCCCATCATTCCAGTTCTTGCCAGGCACTGCTGGCTCCCTGCTGCAGAACGGATTGATTTCAAGATCCTCTGAAGACTACTCCACTTGAAGGGTGCTATATAAAATCGTTATTTATTTAATTTAGCCTATTTATCACAATAACGTTTGTAGAAAGTACAAACATTTTGCTGACATGTTTTCCAAATATTTAAAAACAAAATTTAAAGAAACATTCTTTTATGCAGGATTATAAGCAGGAAATTTAGGACCACAATAGATCCAGCTGTTGTAACAGCAATTTGGAACGCATTGTATGTTGCAAAAAATAATTTATTTCATACCTAAAGTGATTGTTTCTCCAATGTAGTATTTTCATCAAGTTAGTTTAATTTTTAATCAGCAAATGCCTGTAAATAAGAATAAATAGAAGGGCAGCATTCAATCGTCAGAAGTGAAAGTGTGTACACAACATTTTTTGAAATCTAAATCCCGGTAGAAATATGGATTAATGAAACTACTGGCATTAGGGCAAGCTTACGTTTTATATTTGGGTCACAATTCAATAGGGGGATGTCACAATTCCTGCTCATCTGTAAACTTGACAGCACGTTGTTGAACAGCAGCCCAGACTGAATGTAGCCTATCACTTTTTAAGCTCACAATAATGTTGAATTATTTCTGCTGACTTCAGGTCAGCCTGTTCTCCAATCTCCTTCATCACCTGAATAATACAATGCCATAACACAGTAACAATGACTGAGTCAACATAAAAGGCGTAAATCACAAGTATCATTTGAAGTCTGGTTGATTGCAGGAAGATGCTGATCGTATGTAAAGTGAATCAATTTATAGTTATGTGATAATTATAAGATAAAAGTTGTGTTTTTGATCATTCTAGACTTAGAGATTCTGTGGGGGAGCTGCAGTGGTTGTAATTCTATTCATTCTTAACTGCAAGAGTACAGACTAATGAAAAATGATTTACTTCAGAGATTGAATTACAGCGTTTAACTTCATTTTAATTGTATTGTACATAGTATATATAAATAAACTTTTGTTTTGAACTGAAAAAATTAATCAGAATCTACAATTACGATTGGAATAAGGAGTTAATTGTGCACTTCCAGGATAAGTCCTGGAGTCCTGTAGCTCAGTGGTTAGAGCACTCGCTTTGCAAGTGAGAGACCTGAGTTCAATTCCAGACAGGGCGAAACCTTGGGCAAGTTTCCTTACTCCACACAGAGCCTAGTAATAATCCCTCCAAAAAACAAAAACAATAATAAATTGGTCATTTTCAATCTACGACTGTTTGTGGGACATTGCTGTGCGCAATTGGCTGCCGCGTTCGCCCACAAATATACAGTCAATTCACTTTACAGTGTGTTCTGTGAAGCGCTTTGGGACGTCCTCCCGACGTGAAAAGCGCTATATCAAATGCAAGGATTATTATTATTATAAAATCATTGGGGAGGACTCCTTATTGGAGTCCATACATGGATGATGAGCTTGTTTAGGACATGATGGGAGATCCCCGAAAAAAAACATACCCATGACATTCCCCCCTACAAGACCTTTCCGATGAAGAATAAATCATGTCTCTATGTCATTCGGTTAGACAGACAGACATTTTGTCTTTATTAGTATAGATGTATCTCTCTGGAAGGGTGTGTGATCTCTGTTGCTACTTTGTTGCACAATACCATGCATACTTTTTGGGGCTTAATTAAAGCATTTTTTAAATATTTTTTAATACAGCTCATCAACTTTAGGAGATCCCCAAACAAAATATGCCCATGAAACTCCCCCATGCAAGACCTTTCCAATGAAGTATAAATCACGTCTCTACGTCAATCAGTTATTGCGATCTTGGTGGATAGACACACACAGACATTTTGTCTTTATTAGTATCGATAGATGTTGTAACATAACATATGCAAGTGATAGACCTGAGTTCGATTCCTGGCAGGGCGAAACGTTAGGCAAGTTTCCTTACTCCACACGCCTCTGTTTAACTTGAGTAAGTAGGAACTTTGTTGTTGGTCAATTGGCGGATTGCTTTTCCGGGGGTAATAATTCCTTTAAAAAAAATAAAAAATTGTTCACTCAATCCATGGCTGTTTGTGGGACACTGCTATGTGAATAGGTTACCGTGTTTCGCCCACAAGGTATGCAGTCAATTCACTTTACAGTATATTTTGTGAAGCACTTTGAGACATCTCTAAGACATAAGACACTATATTAAATGCAAGGATTATTATTATACACTATGTAAAATGTACATCTGAAGAGCAGAGAAATGCTTCAAGGAATTCTTAATGTCTTGCTGAATATTTGAATTCAATTGAGAAATAATAAAACTATTGGTTTGGGGTTAAATTTCATCAGAATTTACAGGTGGCATTTGATAAAATTCTGTGTGAGATTTTCAAAGAAAGTTAAAGATCATGGAATTAATGGTAAATCAGCTAGCTAGATTGGAAATTATCTCTGCCGCAACGGTGCTCTGAGACATTACCCAATGTGAAGATTGCAATGTAAATGGAAGTTGTTGTACAAAAGTAATGCTTTTTATGTTTTTCAAATCAAACTTTGGTAGCTATGATCTTTAGCCAATGTAACAACCAAATGGAAGTAATCCAATTAAATGTTTGGTGATTCTCAATCATGACACTTTATGATGTACTGTATATTGATTTGATTTTAGCAAATGTAGAGTGCTTCAGCGCTTGAGTAGATTTTCAGCCACACCATAAAGCTCCAAGAACCTTAGTGAGTTGGGTTTACGCTGCAACATTCAATTCGTATTGTAAATTGTTATAAAATATCACTTTGCCATATAGTAATACTTGCATTTGATTCAAATTGGCTGCTATGTTTGCCTACACTCAACAATAATTGTTCTGACAATAATTGTTTGGACAGTTCTGATGAAGTCATCAACCTGAAACATTACGTTAACCTACATTACGTTCCTCTCTCCATAGGTGCTGCCTGACCTGCTGAGTGTTCCCAGCAACTTCTTTTTTTATTTCAGATTTCCAGCATCTGCAGTATTTAGCCTTTTAACAATAATTGTTGTCGAGTGAGTGTAGACAAACATAGCAGCCAATTTGCACCCCACAATCAACCATGAACCCAAATGTACCTTGGGTTTTACATTAGATAGGTGGTCAGGATCTTTAAAGTTCATCTGAATAGGCATATGGGACCTTGGTTTAACGCCTCATCTGAAGGCCAGCACCTCTGACAATGCAGCTTTCCTGCAGTACTCCACTAAGGTGTCAGCATATTCTGTGAGTTTATGGCCCACAAAGAGCTTGAACCTAAAACCTTCTGACCCAAGAGCGAGAGTGCTACAAACTGACTTTAACTGACACACTTTGATATGGGTAGCATGGGTAGTGTAGATAATGCAAGTGTTATTTAGAGCTGGGTTCCCTTTCTATAAAAGGACTTTTTATAATGTGTATGCTAACAAAGATGAAAAAATAAAAATTACTTTATTGAAAAGATTCTGCTCTCGACCTTTTTATTCATTTATTTTTCTTATGTAAATGAAGATTGAACAGCTGATTAAAGCAGCTTTCCCTTAGCTTCTGAAAATGAGCTTTTTCATTTTTGTTTGTTTTCACAGAATGATGAAACTGTCGTTACTGGGTCATGATAGATTGTCATGAAAATACTGATGGCTTGAGTAGTTGATTCACTGAATAATAGCAACAGTGCCAAAGTGATTCACCATGAGTACTGCTAATGGTGACATTTGTCCAGAGGAACAAGACCCTCCTTTAAACCCTTTATGCTTTGAGTGTGGAGAACAGCACTGGACAAGGGAAAACCATCTGTACAACTATCAGCATGAAGTGGATGATGATCTGGTTTGCCACATCTGTCTTCAGCCCCTGTTACAGCCACTGGACACCCCCTGTGGCCACACATTCTGCTATAAGTGCCTGCAGAATTTTTTGCAAGAAAAGGACTTCTGTCCCTTGGATCGCAAAAGGCTTCACTTTAAATTGTGCAAGAAGTCCAGCATTCTTGTTCACAAACTGCTGGACAAACTGCTGGTGTCCTGTCCATTTGGAAATCTCTGTAAGGAGGTGGTACAGCGGTGTGACCTAGAAGCACATCTTAAACACAGGTAAGCAATGCCTTGAAGTAACATTGGCGTGGAATAAGTTTGTATTCCTGCCATAAATATCAATTGTTTTCAATAATTAGGAGTACTGGTGATATTTGGTTCCTATTTGTAAAAGGTTTGGCACTTGGGACATCCTCCTGACGTGAAAGACACTAAACAAATGTATTTTTTTGTTGTTGTTGTTTGAAAGGATGCAATAAGCTTCAAGAAAAGGATTCTCCATGTAAAATTGTAAAATGCAAACTGTAAATCAATGGAAGATGGTCTAAGATTTCACCTTATTTATCTGGACCTCAGGAACAGTATCAGAGGAGGATGAAGCACTTTGAGTACAATGCCTTATGTTGGTAGAAAATGTTAGTGGTCCATATTGCCAGATCTGTGATGGTCACTGCAGTGCTGAATTTCCTTGATACTGAGCTCCTTTTGAGGCTCCATCTACTGTGACCCACTCTACTCCACTGTACTGAAATCTACCCCAACAAAAATCAGTACTGAAGGGACAGTACCAAAGGATCAGATAGCAAAGTAATGTGCAGATCAGTACAGTACTGTGCTATCAATTTATGAATTATGTAATTTGCAACTAATCTTTTTATTAGTTAATTACACAACAACAACAGCTTGCATTTATATAGCGTGCTTCACACGGGATAGTGTCCTGGAGCACTTGACAGTGGCGGATTCTGAACCCCGAGCCAGGGGGAGAGGGAAGTCACCATAAGCATGATCAAAAAGGAAGGTCTTTATACAATTAAGGACACTTGTAATTCTTGTATTTACATATAATATTCAATACATTGTCATTGTCAGGAGTACTGTAACTCAGTTAGCGTCGCAAGCGAGAGACCTGGGTTCGATTCCCAGCAGGACGAAACCTTGGGCAAGTTTCCTTACTCCACATGCCTGATAATAATCCCTCAAGTAAAAACAATAATAAATTGGTCACTTCACTCTATGACTGTTCTTGGGATACTGCTGTGCGCAATTGGCTGCTGCGTTTCGCCCACAAATATACAGTCAATTCACTTTACAGTATATTCTGTGAAGCGCTTTGAGACATCTAGAAGACATGAAAAGCACTATATCCAATGCAAGGATTATTATTATTACACATGGTTTACAGAAGTTTTACAGATGATGCATACAGTTGACCCAATTGTTGGCTTTGGAGTATGCAGCGTAGGCCGAGGGGAAAACAATGTGAAGAATGTCTTTGGTGCACAGAATATGAAGGAGGTAGTGGAGTACAAACAAGCTGAAGATAAAGTTATGTTCTGTTTGTACACCTAACAACATTTACCTACTCACTTTACTACAACCAAACTCTGGTACTGGCAAGAGACATGAGTTCTAAATTGATATGTCCGCAGTTTAATGCTGAGCCACAAGAAACGACAGTGCTTACTCAGTATCCCTGTGATCTCAAGTGTTTGACTTTATAGCTAGTGCACTATATAGCAGTGTTTTAAGCAAATTGCTTTATTTTTCATTTTATTGCTTGTACTGTTGTACTTTATGATTTTTTTTAAAAAATCATTGTTCCATTTAGCAGCACTGTAATCATAGAATCATAGAATTTTATAGGAAAAACAGGAGACCATTTGGCCCATCTAGACTTCACTGCCTCTCAGAGCAAGTTGTTCTTTCAATCCAACTGCCCTGCCTTATCCTTGTATCCTTTCAAACCTTTATCTTGTTTACTTACTTCTTGAAAGCTTCCCAATGGACTCTGCCTCTACCACACTATGCTGGACAACCTATCCAGTGAGTCATAACTCTGATACTATGCGTTGTGGAATGCTGGAAAATGATCCTTGTTCAGACAGCAACAACAACAACTTGCATTTATATAGCGACCTTCATGACCTTCAGATAGCATCCCGAAGACAAAGTTTGTAACACAAGGAGTTCTTGATCTAAAGTGGCATCCACCAGAAATCAAAGGGGGAGTATTCTGTTCAAAATATTCCACTGTAAGTATTTGAAAATAAGATAGTTAAAACATAACTATTTTTATCAGCAGTCAATTAATCACCAGCAATTTATTCTGATGATTAATTGACTGTTATACTGGGTCGCCCTCTCTCCTAGACCATTTTAGTGACCTCAGTTACTGCAGGACTCAGTGTGGGTAAGTTTGTGTAAGTTTCTCCTGGTGACCTGGCCAACAAATTCCCAGATTAAAAAAATGGTCATTCACTTACTGGTTGATTGTGAGACATTGCTGTGTGCAAAATTGGCTACTACAAATACAGTTAATACACCTGACAGGGAAACAAACTTATTATTATCAATAATAATAAAATTGCCAATTTGTTTTTTCTGAGTTGAGTGGCATTAGATAAGGACCCATGCCAGGCTACCGTTTAAAGCTCATCCACATAATTAACATCACCAGAGCAGCCGAGGGAAGGAGATACTAAACGGAACATAGATTTTCCTTTTCTTTGTAAAACTATGTACAGCGATGCTGTACTTGTGCACATATCTCATTTTAATTAAAGAACTTAAGTGTAATATGACCACTATAAATAATTATTATTAATAATAATCCTTGATTTAATAAGGTGCCTTATGTATCAAAGCATCTCAAAGCATTTCACAGCATTTTACTGTAAAGGGTAGTAATTGTGCACTTATAGCCAACACGACATCCAATTTTACGCAACAGCCATGAAGTGAAAAATAATAATAATAATCCTTGCATTTCATATAATAATACTAATCCTTGCATTTGATATAACACTTTTCACGTCTTCTAGATGTCTCAAAGCGCTTCACAAAATATACTGTAAAGTGAATTGACTACATTTTGTGTGTGAAACGCAGCAGCCAATTGCACACAGCAGTGTCCCACAAACAGTCGTGGATTGAAGGGACCAATTTATTATTTTTTTTCTTGAGAGATTATTATCATGCGTGTGGAGTAAGGAAACTTGCCCAAGGTTTTGCCCTGCCGGGAATCAAACCCAGGTCTTTCACTTGTGAGGCGAGTGCTCTAACCACTGAGCTACAGGATTCCTCATCACGTCGTTGAGACGTCTGAAAGCACGTCACAGAATATATTGCGAAGTGAATTGAGCGTATATTTGTGGGCGAAACGCGGCAGTAAATTGTGCACACCAGTGTCCCACAAACAGTCGTGGATTGAATGATTAATTTATTATCATTATTATTTTTTTGAAGGAATTATTACTCCCGGAAAAGCGATCCACCAATCGACTAACAACCAGGTTCCTACTTACTGCTAGGTAAACAGAGGCGTGTGGAATAAGAAAGCCAGGTCTCTCGCTTGCGAGGCAAGTGCTCTAACCGCTGAGCTGCAGGACTCTACAGTTTTAACCAGTTTTAACAGAATAACCAGTTTTGTTGGCTAGGATAGCGGGAGGAATACCCGAATAATATGGGATCTTTAATGTCCACATAAACAGGCAGATGGGACTGCAGTTTAATATTTTATCCGAAGGACAGTATCTCCAACAATGTAGGACTATCCCAGCACTGGAATTATAATAATAAATGATAATAAGCCTTGCATTTGATATAACACCTTATCACATTGTCAAGACGTCTCAAAGGATATACTGTCAAATGGATTGACTGTGTATTTTATGGACAAAATGTGGCAACCAGTTTGCACACAGCAATGTCCCATAAACAGCCATGGAGTGAGTGACCAATTTTATTTTGGAGATCCAGGACACCAGGACAAATTCCTCTTTTCAAATAGCACCATGGGATCTTTAGGGTCCACCTGAACAGGCAGACAGGACCTCAGTTTAACATCTCATCTGAAGGACGGCACCTCCAACAATGCAGTACATCTCCAGAACTGCATTGGTGTCAAGTTAGACTATGTGATTACAAGTACCGATGTGGGGCTTGAACCCATAACCTTCTGACTTGGAGGCAAGAATACCACTACACCAGGCTGACACACACATTATTACTGTTACGTGTATAATTGTCATGTAAAAATGCGATTTAAAATTAATGATTCATTTGGGTTCTGATAAACCTACATAACCATATTTATTCTTCCCTTTGCCCCATTTCAAAATTTATTTCTGTCCTTTGTTTCCTTTCCTTTCAGATTTGCTATGTAGACTCTACACATTGTATCATCCTTTCTGCTCTATTCTCGGATTGTATTTTCGACAATCTTTCTTGTTTAAATTAACTTTTAACTTTAGTAAGAATAATTTGCCTGCACAATTTTTAAAAAAATTGAACTATTTCTACTTTACTAAATTGCAACATCTGACAAAATAAATCTACAAAGTGAAGAGCACTGAAGTAAGAAGAATGTACTCTTAGTCCTGTAATTCTGCTCTATTATCCAGTAGACATTTTAATCGTTTTCATATGCTCTTGTAAAATTCCAGATGTTTTTGTTTAGAGGAAATTCCCACATCATGACGTAAGGTGTATTTTTTTTTACCTTAAACATACTTATTTCATTTTCATAATAAACGCTGTAAGATGTCTCCTGAGTGAAGAGCACTATATTAACGCAAGTTGTTATACAAATTTCAGAATTTGGAAGCAAGAAATTTTAAGTATGGACAAATATCAAAATATCTTGAAGTATAGCAGAATAAAAGCTGCAGAACACTTGTGTATTATACAAGAAGATGTTGACCACTAGATCAGTTTACAATTTTTTAATGTTCTGAATATATTCTGTCATTGAGTATTAGATTAACCATATTTGGCAAATATTAACTAAGAAGGATTGCATATTTGCCCTGCGTTTATTTAAGAACAATCAACTCAGATAAAGGATCTTGTTTCTGTTAACTATTCTGCCTTGTAACTTTATCTGTTTTTTCTTAGCCTAAAATACTATTTGGACTTAACATGTAACATGGTTGAAATGTACAAAATTCATAAATTCAGGCTCAATCTGGGACAGTAGTTCAGGATTAAAGCCAGTAATTTGTGATTAGAATATCAAAATTTGAATCCTAGATCCACTACATGAAATTTATTCTCTC